AAAAGTTGGTTCAAATCTTAATGACAGCTGTCTTTACCATTAACTTGTAGATCTGCTTCAGCCTCATTTAGAGAGAATTGCTGTCGAAGCACTACAGATCTGTTGTTTGTTGCTTCCACCACCGAATCGTAGGAAGATGCAGCTCCTCATGCGGATGATCTCTCGCATCAGCGAAAACGTCGATATGCCACGGCTGCACGATGCCATGGGCACGCGTTCCTTGGTGAGAGACTTGTGTTCTCAGTCTGATGTCTCACCCAACCGCCATTTAACTTAAAAGGTGTTGGAAAAGTGTCTGTAGAAAACCTTTCTTGGGCTAAACATTTGTGTAGGTGAAGTTATGACAAAAGAGTTCCAAAGAAAGGAATTCTCTGCCTGTTGAGCTTAAAGACTAGCTTCAAGCTCTGAATTTAAAATTTTTGTCAAATAGCATTAAATAAAGCAACAAAACCTGCACATGATAATTTAAATTAAGCCTACTAAAAGCTGGAAATATGAAAGTTGGAAAAATTTTTTTTAGAAGTATTTAAAACTGGCTCTTGGTGTGCATTAGGTCTTGCTTAGGTGGGCTCTGCAGGGTTTTCTTTATCATCTCACTTAAGGTGGGTAATTGAAGGTGGACACTTTTCCACAGGGGAAGACTTTCTTATTACCTTTCTAAAATATGTATTGCTGTTCAAAAAGGTACAAATCTAATGTTGTAAGAAGTTCCTTTCTTTCAGATGAGCAAAAAATTATAGTCATTTTTCCTCCTCGCTTGACCAGTGGTGCAGGCAAGAGAGATGGCAGTGAGACTTGGTGATGGAGAATTCATGGCAAAGCAGCAAATCCCTCCCCTGCGCCTACTAACGAGCTGTTAAACACTTGTAGATGATACAGACCTTCTCTCGGTGCGTGCTGTGCTGCGCAGAAGAAGTAGATCTTGATGAGCTGCTTTCTACGCGATTAGTTTCCTTTCTGATGGACCACCAACAGGAAATATTTAAGGTGCCAACTTACCTGCAGGTCGCGGTGCGAGATCACATAGAATACATGAAGATGGCTCAGGTTGGTGGCATGACAGAAGCTTAATTTCAGTTGCTGATTGCAGGGTATTTCTTACTTCTGAAGGTGAATGGGAAGAATAAGCCTATATTTTGAATGCAAAGTTTAATAATTACACTGTTGGTGTAGGCCTAGGTATTTGCTACTTGATAAAGTTTTGCAACTTGTGATGTCACTGTACATTGGTTTGTTTGGACGTTTGCTAAGTATCTTCTCACTGAAATAGTATATAATAATTTGAGATTCCTGGTGGACAACGGGTTGTCCATGAGCCAG